AAAAAAAAAATCTTTTCTTCATTCTTTGGAAACAGAAAATTGAATAGGAAAAGAACATCAGAGATCAACTATGAGACATGAAGGTACAGTTTGGGAAACCTAGAAGAAAAACTTCACAGGAATTTTCAAGTGAACACGAAACCTAAATCCCAGCAGTGGTCCAGAGGGTGAAATACATCTTGGCTTTCTATGGCCACCAAAGGCCAATCTGTGGTGAAGTGGTAGATGAAATGAAAGCTGACTCAAGGGCCAGTCTGATTGCATCCTGCAGGAAGACCACCCAAAATGGCACAGCAAGATAAAGCTCTAGTACACATGTGTGCTTTTACTACAAGCCTAAGCATAAGTTAGTCAAATTGCTCTGTCCCTACAGTAAGAATTCTAATGTATGAACCTATTTTTCTAGAAATACCCCTGCCTTCAATTAAATCATAACACATATTCTATAGTGCTAGTTGAATTAAGTGAAAATCATATCTATAGATACAAACAAATGAACTGTGATTCTAATACAGCAGCCATAGAAATCCACTTTCCTTCTTATATTAGGAAGAATAATCAGGATGTAGACATATTTCCTTTCTTTTTTTTCCCCTGGAAACATATATTATGTGAAAACTGTCATCACTCTACAAAAATGGCAAATGGAGAGTCATGAAATCCCCACATCTTAACTTTTAACTTTTGCAGATTTAAAAAATGTCTCAAGTAGCTCATGAGTAAATAATACATGGAATTCTCATTTACAGTATGTTTTATGGTCTTCTATTCAGCACCAATATGCTGGAGAAATAATGTCCAATAAAAAAGTAAGGTCTCTGCCTCTATTAATTTCAGAGTAACTTGAGTTAAAATGCTGCTTTTTTAAATAAAATCAAATCATGTAATTACTTTGTATAGCAAGACTTAATAATAGAACATTATTATTGTTATTATTATTATTAACATCATCATCATTATTATTACTGCTGCTGCTAAGCAGTTTTGGCCCTTTGGTTAAATCACTTAACTTGAAGGCCATATATTCCCACGGTAGAAAGTGAGTTTAATAGTATGATTACCAACATGGTTTATGGCTTTCTAGATGTTTCTATTAATTACCTCTTTTAATCTCCATGACCTTCTGTAGGGAAAGAGGCAGGAAATGTAATTTGTGGTGGAGAAAACAGGAAAGAAAATACCAGGAGAGTGGAGAAATTTAAATCTTCAAAGCTTCTGGTACATGAGATCCCAAATGACACAGGATGCATATGCATGACAGTAATCATCTTCAGGATATGTTTTCTGCTGTGAGCTTAGTGATACAGGACAAGTTGCTCATATCTCTGAGCCATTGTTTCCTTACCTGTAAAACTGGATCCAATCAAGTCTTCGAAACTAACTCTTGCCCTACATTTATGGAAATAGGAACTACATAACCATGCTGTTAACATGAACTTAACATTATGGGCTCCCTGCTCTTTTGGCTTGCTTGCTTACAGCTGGCACTCTACCATTCAAGTCATATCTCCACCCTGGCTTTTTGTCTCTTTTATTTATTTTTTTGTCAGTTTTGGGGCCTGAACACTGGGACTGGGCGCTGTCCCTCAGCTCTTCAGCTCAAGGCTAGCGCCATACCACTTGAGCCACAGCACCACTTCCAGGTTTTTCTGCTTATGTGGTGCTGAGGAATGGAACCCAGGGCCTCACGCATGCAAGGCAAGCACTCTACCACTGAGCCAACTTCCCAGCCCTCCACCCTGGCTTTTTGTTAATGAGCATCTCACAGAATGTTTGGCCAGGCTGACTTCAAACTACACTCATAAGGCAATAACTATTAAATAAATACACATACTAGATCCCAGCCTCTTGAGTAGCTAGGATTACAGATGTGATTGACCAGTGCCTGGCTTTGTGGCTTCCTTCCTTCCTTCCTTTTCTGTCTCTCACTCTTTCTTTCTTTTAATCAAGACAGAATTCTCTGAAAGTTTGTACCTATTTAGAACCCCTAATTTTATGACTGATTTTTAAATATGCTGCAACACCTTTCTTGGAAGAGTAAAGTAGTGTTGCTGATCCATTCATACTCTTCTAAATATAGGGATTTTAGACAAAGATCTTTCCCAGGATGAGAAGTAGCAATTATACCCTGTTTGAAATAGTTCCTAGAAGCTTTCTAATAACTAGAGAAAACAAATCAAAGTTTTGTCATCTTCTCTGTACAGGGTAAACCAGGTGATGTTAGCAACTGTTATTATGATAACTTCTAGAAATTAGATGATAACTCTTATGGATTATATACTAAAATAATATACTCTGACATTTAATATCTAGTCCTTAACAACTTTCTCCTATACTGTTGAGATCCCAGTTTTAAAGTATTTGTGCAGTAGGAGATTAAAAAAAAAAGCCAACTTACATAAGCTGGGAGCTGGTGGCTCCTACAATCCTAGCTATTCAGGAGGCTGAGATCTGAGGACTGTGGCTTGAAACCAGCCTGGGCAGAAAAGTCTGTGAAACTCCTATCTCTAGTAAACTATCAAAAAAAGCCACAGCTTCACTTCAGAGTGGTAGAATGGTAGCCATGAGTACAAAACTCAGGGAAAACAGCCAGGCTCTGAGGTCAAGTCATAGGACAAAAAGAAAGGGAGAGAGAGAGAGAGAGGAAGGAAGGGAGGAAGGAAAAAGTAAAGAAAGGAAGAGAGAGAAGGAAAGAAAGAAGAAAAAAGGAAAGGACAGGACAGGAAAGGAAAGGAAAAAGGCTTACTTACACAATACATTTGTTATCAATGCTTTATTGTTGAAAACAAAATTGAAATCCTCTGGCACATAAAACAATTATTTCTACAAAAGGAAAGCCTACAAATCTTGATAATTTATACAAATAACAATTTCTCAAAAAATAAAATTTTAATTTAGTAAACTTGTCTTGTGCTCTATATTTTTAGCACTGTCTGCAATAATCCACCATAAATCCCTGAGCGGAGACATTTTTTGATCATGTTCTAAGAACCCCCCCAACCCTCCCTCCCAGAGTTGGTCAGTTACTAAATCCAGCCCTGTAGTGAAAAGTGTCAGGGACATTGGTTATTAAAAATCCATGCATTTTTATGACCCACGCCCAATTATTAATGATACTTGGAAACTGAGTCACAGGAGGTTCCTCTATTGCATTCAGTGAACCTATTAAGAATCAAATGTTGAAAAGGAAGAACAATTAACAGTTTTTAAAAAAACAGACATTGTTAAGACTAGGAAATCCTCATAAGTCAATAACTATTTAAATAAATAAACATGTTAAGACACTGAATTTATCTTTATAGCCTTATATTAAATTCTTTTTCTTTCTTTTTTTTTGTAGTTTCCAATGCATTAGAAGATGAAAAGTATACTTCATCCCATTATTTTGGTTTGACCATAGATTTGTTGTTGTTACATGTTAAATATCATTCTCAATACACAGAGATTTAGATTTAATTAACTTTTGGCCCATGAGTGAAATATTCACAAAATAATACACACATTTATAGGAGGGCCTTCTTATTAATGCGATCAAAAAATCTCTCTCACTACAATTGTCTTTTTCACAAAGACTAATACCATAAGAACACTACCTTACTTTCTTTTCCCATTGTATTATTCAGACACAAAAACACAACATAGAGAAATATGGAAAACATAATGTGATGTATTTGCATGTCCAGTTTCCTTTTAGTGGAAACATTGATCATATATACATGGAGTGTGAAAAGGAAGGGGAAAAGGTGAATTTTCAGTTGCAATGAACTGGCTTGATGAGTTAAAACCTTTTTTGTGTTGTCATCATGTTATGGTAGAATAATAAATAAATAAATATGTAGGGTATAGTATAGTTAATTTCTCTATAAAGAAGTAGATAATGGATTGGTGTTTTTGTTTGACTGCAAGCCAAAAAAAAAGTCAATATCTGTTTTCTTCTACTTCATTTGTAGTGTTCTCCTCGTGAAATGATCATTGAAGTGGTTAAGAACAGGTAAAGAAATTAAATACCAATCTGCTAGTGAAAAATAGTTTTCAACTGAGAAAGCCCTAGACTCATTCAGGCGAACACTACTATACTCTATTGCAGTTTAAAAATAAGTCATTCTTGACATCTTTCAAGGAAAAGAAAACTAAAAGTAATTCCTTGAAATTTTCTCTGTACTGCTGTTTGGAGTACCTGTTAGAAACTGCCTAGATGCCATATCAACTTTTTGTAAAACAAAATCCCAGACTGCCATCACCCTACAGTCTCATGTAAGCTTGACGTTTTAACTGACATCATCAGGATAGCACTCGGCACCCTCCCTTTGGTCTGATCATGATCGATTAGTTATTGAAACTGGAACTCTAATAAGCTTCCCTGTCCATTTGCCTTCCGTAAGCACACATTTGTCAAGGTAACTTCAAAAGAATTCATGCCATGAATTCTGCTGAGTTTGGTGGAAAAGACTGCCAACATTAAAATAATAACAAGTAAAACAAGGTCTGCCTGACACATCTGAGCCTTTTCCGGCTCCTCTGACAGCAACTATGTTAAGTGTGGTTGGCTCTCCCATTCACACCCTTTCCAGAACATGAAAAACAAAACGAGGTTCACAAGAGGGGAGCTTGTGACATCCAAATCCTTGGAACCCGTGCTTCCATGGATACACAACTGCAGATTCTGACAGATCCAGACACAAGTGATGAACATGAAAACAAACTTTCTAAGCTTCAGAAATTGATAAGCAGGCGGTCCCACAGAGGGAAGACAGCAGCGTTAGGACAACCTGGGCTCACTGGCATGCGCACTAAGGTTTCTCCACTCCCGATTGAACACTTCACCTAGAGTTTCCTGCGGCTGAAAGGATCTTCTGACTTCCTCTCACAGTGTTTAAGGAACAATAGAATTTGAAACCTAGCTTCCCCAAATGAACAAAATCTGTAACTCCCCCCACCCCCCCCGCCCTCACTCTCCCTTTGGAGAATGCCAAAAAGATCCTGTTTTAAGTGCTGTGGTTTCCAGTCTAATGGGTAACAATTATAGCCTTTGGGAGGTCTCCCATATTCTGCCCCCCTTCCTTTTTTTTTTTTTTTTTTTTGGTGTTAATGGCTGTGCCAAACATCCAAGTGGATTCTCCCAGAAAGTAGCAGTAACCACACATGGCCTCTTGCCCTGGATCTTGCAGTCCAAAATGAGCTTTTTATTATAGTACGGCTGGGAAGGTTTGTGTGTTACTGAAGTCAGCTTTAAAACAGGAAGAAGAGGTGCAGCCTCTCCAGGCGTCAGGTCTTGGAAGTTTTCAAGCCTTGCTTTTCCATGATGTTCCACAGTTTGCGGAGATTGGACTGCGTGATGATGTCATCCGGCTTGAGCTGCAGCGCCCGAAGGTAGTTGGCCTCTGCTTTCTGGAGTCTGCCATTGAGGTGCAGAATGGCGCCCAGGTTCATGAGAGCAGCCGGATACTGCAACAAGAGATTGGATGTTAGATCACAGAGAGGCCATTTCAAGATTCCCTTCACAGAAGACAAAAACATTCTTCACATAGGCAAAGGATTCCCCTCCAGAGTTGGCGGATGGGAGTAATTTGGTAACAAGTAGATGAACATAACTGGGAAGAATTAAATGCAAAACAACACAACAACAAACAACAGCAAAAACCCAACGGTTTGCACACAGCTGCTGTGTACTTGTAAGGTCCACCCTGGGAAGGTGGAGCAGACTCCTCCCTCCTCTGGGTTAAGTTTCTGTCCTGTACCTGTGTCACCTAGGTAACTGACACACTTGGAGGCCGTCATTTTCCCCGCTCCTTGAGGCCACACCTTCTTCCGCCGCTGGCCTGGAGACGTCCTGGCCTGGCTGTGGTTTGACCCTTTTCTATTCTTGCTGCATGGGCTTCCAGCTTGACCAGAGGCAGCCGCCAAATAAACCTTTCCCTTGCCTGAACGCCACGTGCTGCTCTCTTTCCTCGGCTGCCAATTTAATTTATCTAACAGGTACTTTGTGAGTTAAGTAGGAAAGGAAGCTAGGAAGTCGTTTTTTGACTTTTGTTTTTTTCCCCCCTCTGGGAAAGAATGGGTAAAATAAAGACTTAGTAATTTTGTCTGCCTGTACTGTTTTGAAAAAAAAAGTTTAAATTGTTACATGTTCAGATAGAAATAATTAAACTTTTTTTTTGTCAGTCACACCCTGAGCTCTTTCGCTCAAGGCCAGCGTTCTACCACTTTGAGTCACGAACAGAAGAAATAAATGAAAAATGCCAAAGCTATGTCCGCATGTCCATTGATTCTTGTCTTTTACCCTTTCCAGGGGTTGCATGTTAAAAAAAAAATCAAAATAAAAAATAAAATATCACTGAATTTCCATCCCAAGCTTATTATTTTACCAAGACAATGTGCTTATTTTTTAAAGCACATTAAAAAAAATAGTGATGGACATTTACTATATAGGAAAATAAATAACTTCAAACTTAGGATATAACCTGTATTAGAAATGTTCTATGTTAATTCTTAAAATGTACTTTACTAAGTCTCAGAATTTCAGTTATATATAACTGCATTACAAAAATTACCCTGTGATAAAGTTTTTCAAAAGTATTAAAAAAATTATGAGTTATGTAGCACTAATCTAATTCAAGTGCTTCCAGTCTCAAATTCTCAGACATTAGCTTTTTAAAGGACATCCAAAAGCAAAATATAAACACTTTGCTTCCTAGGTACAAATAAAGGCTGGTCTGTTCTTGTCTTGTCCTGAATTAAGATTCTGACGAATAGATAACAGCTAATATTTTGAAAACACATATAAAAATAATATTTCAAATATCAGATAAAGTACAGCAATGTTTATGCTATGATTATGCCTGTATTTTACAGATAATGTGGCTTGTTGTCTTTCATCTCTGTGGGAAAGCTGAAAAAAATTCTCAATTATTTGTATGATTATTTTCACAATCCATGTATTTTTAGTTGAATTCGTCTAGCTCTCCCCCTTTACTGTAAATCAATTATTTCTGAATCAAAACAATGCTGAGGAGAGGGTAAAATAGTTCAAAATAAACTAAGTAATCAGCAACCCAGATTTAAGCTTTTGCCCAATCTCTGTGATCTTGCTCAAGCCCCCTAATTTATCTGTATTCATGCCTTAGTTTTTGAAACACTAAAATAACATCAACTTCTTTGAATGCTGTTACAATGTTATCAAAAAATTCAATGCCTGGAGCACACACGAACAAAAACACACGGACAAAGTTCAAAGTGACTTCAAGGTCGGTCACTTTTCCCAGTCTCCTTTTGTTTGAGGTTTAGCATATAGAATTATGCAATTTTTATGTTGCTGGATAGCCTTTATAACTTGTTTCAATGTCTATATCATGTCTCTGCATGCATACCAAAATTCCCCTGAATTTTAAGCTTCTAAAGTTTTCAAACTTCCCTACATTCTTGTCCTTCTATCCTTCAAAACAATGTGGCAAATATAAGCTATTCCTGATCTTCCAAAACCTTTTGGTCAGAATGACTCCATACTTATCAAGAAAAATACAGATGGTCAGTTTCTAATTTTAAACAGCAATCCAAATAAACACAGCTCTAAATTACATGGGCAGCGAAAAACACCACATTGGAAATCGAAAATAACACCACCTACTTCATCTTCCTAAAAGAAGTATGTTATCACACCACCAGTATTATCTTGAGTTCCTTGATGCCTGAATACCCTGCTGAATTATGACCCCCTCAGACTGCTTGGCACAACTACCAATAAACAGCTAGTAAGTGGACAGTGAAGTGTGTTCACAGCCTGAATTACTAGAGATGCTCAAAGGAGATAAAATGTTCAGGCTTCCTGCCACCCTAAGCTGAAAGAGAAGAAATAGGGCAGGAGCATCATGGCTGGAAACCATTCCTGACTAACCAGAAATAGAAGTCCAGTGATAGGGCTGAGAGAAACCAGATGGCTCTGTGGGATTGATTTCCTCAGTCATTCTGTTACTAATGTGCCTGGACTTAGAGTGTCTGTACCTATAATTGCAATGCAAAGGGATTATTAAAAATGCTCAGAGGTTTTGGAGCCAGATGGCCCAGGTTCAGATATCAGCTCCACTGCAGAGAAGTAGACACTTGAGCAAGCTGGGGACATCAATTTCTTCTATAAATGAGATGACAGGAAGTACTGGCTATATAGGATTATTGTGGAGATTATGAAAACAGAAAGGTAACATTCTGCTTTTCTCCTTTCTCGTCATCTCAACAGTACAAACTAGGAAAGTGCTGAATTGGATACTGAGGATTTGGGGGTTTCATTTTAACCCAGCTTTATCTTTAATGGATTCCTAGCCATTTTTAGGTGAAGTCTGTAAGAGATGGATTAGTGAAATATATCAAACAAACCATATAACTAATCACCATTATTATTTCTAAATTGCATCCTGAGGTTCTCCTATATTTGGGAATTATCCTCCTGCCAGTAAATGATGAACAAAATTTTAGTATTTTAATATTATTCTCAGAAAACACAATTAGGAAGTTAAACCTATTCTGATGAATGATGTCTGAATGCTAATTATAATGGTGTCTTTATAATAACTTCAGTTTTACATTATAACACTGGCATGGTATTTATTAAATAAAAATAATCATAAATTTATTTTATGAAGCTAATGTAGGATAACAAAACCTAGGAAAATTCACAGATGCTCATATATTATGGTCCCTAAGGAGTACAACATATATAAACTAGAAACATATTTAAAAACATCATTCCAGCGGGGTACTGGTGGTTCATGTCTGTATTCTGAGCTACTCAGGAGGCTAAGACCTAACCATCACATTTTGAAGTCATCCTAGGCAGTAAAGTCCAGGAGACTCTTACCTCTAATTAACCGCCAAATAGCTGGAAATGTAGATGTGACTGTAGCTCAAGTGATAAGAGTGCCGGACTTGAATGAGAAAAGCCAAGTGAGAATGCAAGGCCCTGGTTTCAAGCCTCAGTACGTACACACACACACAGACACACACACAGACACACACACATACACACACACACTATCTACCTATCATACAAATAAAAACATCATTCTATTTTAAGCAATTATAAGTGGAAGGTTAAGTTATAACTTTTTTTTTTGTGGTCCGTCATGGGGCTTGAACTCTGGGCTTGGGCGCTATTCCTGCGCTCTTCAGTTCAAGGCGAGCGCTCTACTGCTTGAACCACAGCACCATGAGCGCTCTACTGCTTGAACCACAGCACCACTTCCAGTCTTCTGGTGGTTAATTGGAGATAAGAGTCTCACGGACTTTTCTGCCCTGGTTGGCTTTGAACTGTGATCCTCAGATCTCAGCCTCCTGAGTAGTTAGGATTACAGGCGTGAGTCACCAGCGCCCAGCAAGTTATAACGTTTTTCTTTGAATGTAAATGTCATCTTAATAGGAGTATTTATTATTATTTTTTAAAAACTCTAAAACATTCATTCTACAATGCTAAAAACATCACGGTGACTGCTAAAATGTGACGTTAAGTAACAGGTATGCACTCTAGGTAAGGAGCCTCTACGAAACTGCCAACAGTCACTTGGATGTAAATAGTCTCAACTGTTAAAAAGCTATCTCTAATATTGGATGCCATTTCATCTCTTCAAAAGCAGGGCCTTTGTGTTTTTAAGCCTGATGTGTGGCCCCTCCTCAGGGACAGCTGGGTGGCTTCACAGACTTGCACTGGACCCAACACCTCCAGGTCTCCTAGCTTCTGGGGTCAAGCTGGAGTTCAAAGCACTGGTATCACTTGGGTGCTTGACAGAAATGCAGAACTTCAGGCCTCACCTACCTGAATCAGAATGTAAATTTTCACAAGATCCCCAGGTGCTTTGTATGCTCATTAAATTTTAGAAGCCCTGTTGTACAGGTCACTTGTAGATCAAAAATTCATATCATTTTACAGCTTTTATAAGGGAATTTCTTATAAGACGTTATAGTCTCTACAACAAAGCACACCAAGATCAAGTATCTATCCCCTCATAAACTTGAATTCTTCTCTTGGTTATGCAATGATTTAAGGGAATAAATGTTCAAATGAAATTTTATAAAGAGAACTGTAAATCATTAAACTTTGGCAGACAGAAAAAGAGGATACAGAAATAAAGAATCTGCTACAGGTTTGCTAAACAGATTGAAAGACTACCTACCTTTCTAACTGCACGCAAGCGTTTCTGGTGACTGCTATGTACTACGTCAGCATCCTTGCTCTCTGCCAGCTCTCACTTGAGCTGGAGAAAAAGAAATCCAACCATAGTAACTGACTACTCTCCCACCCATTGTCTCTTATTAAAGACAGTTGATGAAATTTTCAGCATGTTTACTGAAGCCGGCAGCAGCCCTACAGCCGAGAAACAAATGGCTCTTGGCGCTCCACAAGTGACACCACCCACTACTTCACAGATGAGAAAGGACAAGCAGACCTTTCTTGTTTCCTT